CTCCTATTTGGACTTTTGCATTAAAAGGACACCTCTTCTGAGTAATGCAAAATCTGCCTGCTTCATTCATTTGCAGCCTTCTTGATAATGTAGGGTAAGCTCATGACCCAAACGTGGACCTACTGTACCTGCACATTATCGATATCTGCCCCGTTATTTCCACTTTGTTCCCAAAACAACACTTTGACAACTTGTGTATTATATCAACTCTTTTGAACAAGCCTGGAGCGTGAACTGTGCGTCGGATTTGTCCCCGGTTGATCTCATGTATGTAATCTGGACAGTGCTTTGGGAACTAACATGGGAATTGCTGTGGAAAAAAAAACCAACCTACATTTGTGCTAAACAGTGTTGTGACAGATTACTGCGTGTGATATGTGTGTGTTGAAAGGTGAACTAAGTATGTGAGAGGTTCTTGTTGTGGCTGTTAGCCCTAGCACATGTCAGTCTTGTGAATTTAAATCTGACATTGGAGACCAATTTCAAACCTCAGAGCGATGTGCAGCAACAAAGTTTTAGTGCAGCAGATAGTCCAGAAAAGACTTGATAGAAGTTTACTGGGAGAGGATTGAGGTGACACTGAGAGGAATGGGAGTAGAGGATTGAGTTGTGAGGTAACACTTGTGGGATGAATGGGGCTCAGGTTGGGTGGAATTTGGAAGGAACTGGAAGAGATTGGAAGGAGATGGGGAAAGCTGCCCTGAGGGGCACTGGGAACAAGATACACCATCTCAACCCTTCTTTCTTTTACCTTGCAGTGGCAAGATCAGAGGCCTCATTTCTCTTACAGGGGTCCCTGCCTTCCTGTATGCCTTTTCTCATCTGTATTTTGGTATATGAGAGAGTGAACCTTCTCTGCACATACCCTTTCTGATGGGATCTACATCTCCTTACTTCCCTAACTTGTCTACTGTGTGGTAACCCCCAGGATCTTAGGTAGCCCTGAAGATGGTGAAAATATAAACTGCTGAGCACTGGGAGATTAAGAAGCAGCTGTGAAGACTATGCAGGTTGGGAACAGGCAGACTTAGTGGGCTAGGACTGCTATTATGAATACTTAGCCAAAATATGCAGTGTGCCATGTAGTTCTTTGGGACCACCCCCAGGATATTGCAGGCTGTATCTGGGGTGTCCATACTTTGAGAAAGGAGGACCATATAATCTTTTTTTCCTGGGGCACTATTGTTGGTGTGTTTCCTTAGGACACGGTGTATAACCAGGATGCAGACACCCTAGCACCACATGTTGAGCAGATGACTGCCCTTATGATAGGATGTACAAATATGCATTGGATCATTTGACCCTGTAACTATCCAGTCCCTCAACCAAATGTGTTAGTCAAGTGATGGGAAAACTTGCAGTTCTGTCTGCTGGCACATGTGCATCTAGCCATGTGACAGGGAGGACTTAACAGGGGGAGAGAGGGGCTGGGCCAGACTAACTTTTTTCTGGTACACTGTAGTTTGGGCATCTAAAGAACGCTTCATGATCAGGAGAGTGGGCAGCCCTCGTAAGCAGCTGCTTTTGAAGAGATGGTGCAGTACTGGACAGTGTTAAGAGAGTGAGGTTCAGTTGTCTAAATAAATTACTAATGGCATAATAGGAGAAGTACCATCTGGAAATAGCGAGTAGCGGCACCGGATGTGTCTAAGTTGCAAGAGGTGTATGAAAGAGGAGTTCACGAACTTTTGCAGATACAGTGGCTTTGTGTGCATGGCCAGAACTTTTCCAGCTTTGACAGAGCTGAGCAGATACTGAGCCCAGCTCATGTCAAAGCAAGGGATCCAAACAGTGACAGGGACCTTTTCGCCTCTTAAGTCCCTCTCAGGGCTTGATCAGGTAAGTATTCACAAGACATATAACGAAATGTCGCTACCTCTTTATTTTAAAGGGTGTACTTGGCTCTACTCACCTTTAATAATATAGCCTAGTAATTGTCAGTCTTGGACAAGAATTGGGGGATCCAGGTTCAGTTCCCTTCATTGTCTTCTAGGATTAAGATGTCCATTTCCATCGCCTTCCGGATCCTATTCTCTTAAGAACTTCCTGTGTCACCTATCTAAAGCCTTGACCTAAAAGTAGGTTTGAGGAAAGGGGGTGGTTTGGCCCTTTGCCATTATTACCTTCTGATGATCCTGAAAGGCTAGTTCAGAATATCACTGCTCCAACAGTCAAGTTTTCTTTTCACTTCCAACTTAATGATTCCTGGTCAGATGATAGCTCCTTTTTTCTTTCCCTGCCGCTGGCTTCTCTCTCTTCTCTGTCCATGGTATTTCTCCTCTGTGGTGTTTACAGAGAAAGCTGAAGCCCCTTTCAGCCTTCAGATTGTTAGATTAAAATTGTCAGGCTATTTTTTTTATTTTTCTTACATGATTGTGTCTCTGTTATGTGATCATAATACTCTCTTTTTCTTTCTGTTTGAATTAATCTTTTGAGGGTATGGGTGGCCGTGTTACTCTTGATGCTTCCTACTGTTGCATTTTTGTTTTTCCCAGTTGTATCACATTAGGAACACTGTAGTGATCAACCAGTATGCTCTGTTTCTTCTCAATTGTTTATAACTGATGAAATCTCAGCTAAAAATTCCCAAGGACATAATTCGTAAATGGATGCACTTGCATGTTACAGTAATGACTTTCATTCGTGTACCATTATTCCAGATTTGCAGATTTTTTTTCTGTGCTATCCCAGTTAGCCTGTTGATGATGCCTACTTAATTGTCTCATATATGTATAGTTGATACGCTCCTTGTTTTTGTATCAATATTATTCCAAAGCAATTTTGTAAAAAGACAATACCAATAACTCTCCTCCAGCCTAATGAACTTCTTCCATCACCACCAGTAGCAACTGCCATTTATTCAGCTCGCTCTACTAATCCTCACTAATCTTACTGACTAGGGGCAGCCGTTTCACACATAGAACTTTACTGAAGGAAACACCAAAGTCCACATAGATAAGATGTGCCATATTTCTTGTGCAAAGGCATTGTATACCTTTACTATGGCCATGCTGTATTTGATCATGTTTTCTCTTTATTTACATAGCTTATCATTCATTAAGTGCCCTAATTTATGTTATCGGCCACTCTGGAAAGGGCATTCTCCTCCCCTTCTGCTGAGCTTGTATGTACTTCACAGAAGAGAATCCTGCATTCAGAGGGGCGAGGAAGACATGAAAAGATTCAAGGCTTTGTCCTTGCCCAGAGAGGGAGATGTCTTTGAACCCGTATGTGTTAAGGGAGGTGGTTTAAATTTAAGAAACATACCGTGGATTTGTATTTGTTCTCTCACTGCTTTGTTCTGCTTTCTACTGTTTCGTCTTTTGCCAACATGTCTGGGCTGTTCTCTTCACCAGTGTCTCCACCCCTTTGCTAACAAAAAGACCTGCTGTATAACTGTGAAAAGCATTAGATTTGTATGAAACTAAGATCTGCAAGAAATGTTGTTATTCAGGATATCATGCCACCTTTGAAGAATTAGGGTAAAGAGCAAGTGCCTTCAGCTATCTTGAGAAACACACATGCACACACACCATGAGTGTACACATTTCTGGAATAAGTGCTGCTGAATTTCCTGAAATTTTCTAGCTCCAGCAGTTGTACCAGATGTTGGTAAGGCTAAAGGCTGTTGGACTTAAGTTTCTGAAGCTAAGGAAAAAAAGATGGAATAAGGTCAGCACTGGTCAGGCCACGTGTGGAGTACTGTGTCCGCTTCTGGGCTTCAGTACAGGAAAGACATGAAGCTACTGGAGAGAGTCCAGTGAGAGGCCACGAAGATGATGAGGGGACTGGAGCATCTCTCCTGTGAGGAAAGGCTGAGAGAGCTGGGACTGTTCAGCCTGGAGAAGAGAAAGCTTGGGGGGATCTCTCCAATGTGTATGAGTACCTGAAGGGAGGGTGCAAAAAAATGGAGCCAAACTCTTCCCAGTGATGTCCAGTGACAGGACAAGTAGTCTATCTAAATATTCAATAGAAATATTCAAGGATACACAGGATACGAGGAGAAAGTTGACATCAAAAATTGTGATATTTTACAACTTTGCAGTAACTTCATCTGGGAAAAGGACTGTGCTGATTTTGGTTGGGATAGAGTTAAATTTTTTTCGCAGCAGCTGGTATGGGGCTGTGTGTTGGATTTGTGCTGACAACAGGGTTGGTAACAGAGGGCTGTGTTAGTTACTGCTGAGCAGGGCTTACACAGCATCACGGGCTGTCCTGCTCCTCACCCCACCCCACCCCACCAGTGAGGAGGCTCGGGGGGGCACAAGGAGTTGGGAGGGGACACAGCCGGGACAGCTGACCCCAGTGACCCCAGGGATATCCCATACCGTATGGCGTCATGCTCAGCACATACAGCTGGGGGAAGAAGGACGACGGGGGGATGTTTGGTGTAAGAACCATTTGGGTTGATGAAAGGATTGTGTTGTAAAGCCCTTGATAAAACTGAAACAGGAATAAATTGACTTCTAAAAAGTGTTTATATTTTGGTCATATAATGTATCACAACAGTGTACATAATGTCAATACTGTCAGTAATGTATATCTTATTTGTGAGGTTTGAATTACAAAATAATCTAAACTTTCTCCTGTGACTAGACTATCCTCCTTGATTATTCTGCTTTTTTACTCAGTTGTCTTTGTTGTTGTTTTTCTGCCTAAGTTTTCTCAGTAACTTATTGATACCTGTATAGTAAAGTGAATCCTGTATTTTAAATCATTTTATCTTTTAATAAGAATGATAGAGTATTATAGAGAGAGCACTTCACACAGTTTAAAACATTTGTATTAACCTGAAGGGAGTGAATGAGCTATAGTCCTAACAAGGAGAGAAATACAGCAGTCAACTATATGGCTTCAAAGAACCTGCCCCTTGCATGGGCAGGGAAGAGTCATACTTTCTTCAGCCTGTGAAACTCGCCAAGAGAACATGTAGGCATGTGTTTGAAAAGGTCTGTTGCAAATCTTTTAAAGTTAAACTGATTCTCAATTATGTGCTGTAGGAGATGAATACGATGTATGTGCCATTTGTCTGGATGAATATGAGGATGGAGACAAGCTCAGAATCCTTCCATGTTCTCATGGTAAGCAGCTGTATTTTAGGTTTGGTATTTGTGTTAAAACAGCTCTCTAAAACACCATGTCTAAAACCACAGTGAAGATGTTTATTGATTGATTTATAAAAATTTAGTTTTTGCTAATATGCAGGAGTGTATATACAAATTGGGAAAAGAGTAAACTTTTCTTTCTCTTTATGAAAGCAAAAAAGGCTAGCATTCCCACCTAGCATTTTTCTTTGGACGTACACATGAAAGAAAATCTGGGCTTGACACTGTCCTCTGAATATCTCTATATTTAATAGGGAAACATGTTCCAGAACTATTTTTTTACATTGAAAAAAAAAAAAAAGCTCTCACTTTCTCCAAGACAAACCGTAAAACGTAATTCAGCTATTAGTGACATGGAGTTATGGATGAAGGGATATAGTCTGTCCCACAGCCTGAAGCCATATAGACCACTGCCTTGACTGCACTTGGAAGTCAGTGTTGTCAGTGGAAAAATTAGTGGAATATTTTCACTGTGACAAGCTGGGCACTGTCTGAACAGTCTTTCTCAAATACAGCCCACTGCAAAAGGTATCTCTGGTAGTCATGTATCTATCTACCCACAAGACAAGACTGCTCTTAGCTGCGTGCAAGTACAAGAAGCATTTTAAGAGCTTATATGTAGAAATCTGGAAGAGGCCTGGGCCCAAGAGCATCTCTAAATTTAAATTTATTTTTTTTTTAATAAAAGCTCTGTAAAATCTATCGAGAAAGATGGGATTCGTCCTTCCTAGCTTGAGACCCTCTCTTTACATGCCAGTCCATTAACTATATTACAGCCATTTTAGCTGGGTGTAGTTTTACGCAGCTTTTTCTCATTAAATTCCTGCTCTGATCATCAGGCACTGCAGCAGCAAATACCAACCACATCACTCAGAGATTCAAAAAAAGAGATAACTGGTGTTACAGCCTTACATCCACAGTCAACACAGCAGATGACTGAGGATCTACAAAGCTCAGTCTATCATAAAAAACAATTTCAAAACATGATGACAAAGAAAGAGTTCTCGGAAGAACAGGTCCATAGCATCTGTCCCAGCTGGGGACTGCAAAGTTAACTAAACCTGATCACCAATATCAAAGATTGCTGGCAAATTAGAAAAATAAAAATCCAAAACCACCACTGTCAGTTCTCGTGGAGAACATGCTACTAATGTTCTTGAACAGGTACTAAACACGACATGCTTGCCTTTGTAAATATTTAGCTCTTTGCCAGACAGAAGTCTCTGTTAATAAGCACAGCTAGGTTTTTAACACCATAAGTAAGACACTTTCAAACACTTTTTTTTAAACAAGGCCAGTATAGTTGCAGTGCCAACTGTAGACCTGATTTAAAATCCGCAAAATCATGCGGTAATTTTATTTAATAACAAGATGCTTCAATACATCTTGGTGGAGGTTAGAGGCGTCATGAGGATAATAATGGTGGGCATGTCTGCTGCAAGGTGGGTATAATTCCTCAAGAAACTTTTCAAGTTTATTTTGTCAAACATGGCCTATTTGCAGGACTGCTCTCAGATTCATTCCGTAGAGGAAATGGGTATGTATTACATATATCCATATGGCCAAGATCCTAATGTATTAGACGTTTTGTACATAAGGATAGACAGTCTACATGCCAGCAAACTTGTGACTAAAATTCTCTATATGAGTTGAATTCTAACATTCTCCTGTGTTACTAAACATAAATACAATTTAGCAGGCTTCCTTGTCCTTTTCACTTAGATAATGATGTACTTGTATTTTGTTTTCTAACAGCGTATCACTGCAAGTGCGTGGACCCCTGGCTGACAAAAACAAAAAAAACATGTCCCGTATGTAAACAGAAAGTGGTCCCTTCTCAGGGGGACTCTGACTCTGAAACAGACAGTAGTCAAGAAGAGAACGAAGTATCTGAAAATACTCCTTTGCTTAGACCATTAGCCTCAGTTAGTACTCAGTCATTTGGGGCTTTGTCAGAATCTCATTCCCATCAGAACATGACCGAGTCCTCAGAATATGAGGAAGATGACAATGACAATATTGATAGCAGTGATGCAGAAAATGGAATAAATGAAGAAAGTGTAGTGGTTCAACTACAGCCCAATGACGAAAGCGAGTACAGAGTGGCAAATACTGTTTGAGACTACTAATGATGAATAGTGTATGAACAAAAGAGTTCTTAAGGCTATACTTTACAAACCTTTATGTAGGGAGTATATTTTAATCTGTAATCCATTTGGTTTCTTCAATAGGAGCAGCAGTTCATGTAGTGGTACTATTGTTAGATCATTACTGATAGATTTATTTTTGATTCAGGTATCAGTCACACGTTCTGTCTTCTCAAAATGAAAAGTTTAACTGGACTTCACGATGTTAATGAATAATGTTAATAGTTTATATAAATAGAAATATCACACAGACTCTAAATGTATCTTGTTGAAATGGGATTTATCTGGAAGTAAGTTTTTTCCATTTTGTAGCTACAACCGGGTCATACCGATAGCAATATTTATTACATGTATGGTATGTGTTACCCCTTAAGCCCAACAAAAAATGTATTTGCATGTTTGTAGAGTTTTTCTAAAAACTGTCACCACTACTGAAAGAAAAGTGTAGAACAGACCAATATTCTATGTGCTGGTATATCAGAACAAAGCAGAAGAAATTCCACTTTTATCTCGAAGCAGCAGTGATTCCAAATAATCCTTTGGAGTTTGCCACAGTAGCTGAGTTTAAGCAGTTCTATTGAGCGAATCCTAGGATGAGGAAACTTAGAATATACATTTAGTTTTGAGCAGTTCACAAGGTAAGATCCACCATAAGCACATTACTTATACCTACTTGCTACTACAATGTAGTCTGATTTCCAGTGATGATGTGGGAGTTGGGCAGGGGTGCGACCAAAACAGAGGTTTTGTTCCACATAGAAAAATAATTTTAGGTAAGTATTCTATTGATCCTCAACTCATATACCTCTTACTAAAGAGCATTTTATGCTGCATTAGTCTGCTAAACTATGTATATAAAAAAATTGTTCTTTTCAAATACCTGATTTGAAAACAAGTGCTTATAACTGTTTAACAGAACTCAGTACTTACCAGTGTATCATGAAAAAAGTAAATGATATATAATACCGCTGTAACTATGTAGAAAGTAAAAAACATATGTAAAAAAACATACTCAAAATGCGGAGATTTTTTTTATATGGCCTTGAATAAGGAAAGCTTGAAAGAATGTTAATAAACATGTTTTCCACTTTAAGTATCAAAAGGGATTTATTGAACTTTTGCATTACTTACATTCATTGTGTACTCTTCCACATTTATCACTAAGGTTGAAGTCTTTTTTTTAAAGATCCAGAACGTGCAACTGTTAAGATCCCTTAGTAAACATTAACCTACATTGTGCTGTGTATCACAGTACAGAGTGTTGTACCGATCGGTACTGTATGCAGGAGGACTACGTTACGTAGAAAACATTTATTTTTGTTCACTTGTAGTTTGAGGAGAAGTTTGACTCAGTCTGGGTCGGTACATGTGATCTGTGTGGGGGAGAGGGAAGGAAGACCCAGGGTGTGGTTAATAGTTCCTGCTCACCTGCCAGCACCTTCAGAGGTGAAGTCTGTGAGCCTGGGCTCTGGAAATCCTGGACTGAGGTGATTACAGGTGAGGTGTTCCCATTTGTTATTGCTGACCTAATGCACGGTGCAGCTACACCCTCCTTGCTTCAGCCTGGCGATGGAAATCTGTTCTCTGGGACTGGCTAAGAGCAGAGAAAGCTTATTTTGCAGAATGAGGCACGGTAAAGGATAATAATGAAAGAATGATTCATCTTCATACCACTGCCACCAGCAATCCGTGGGGTTAAAGACAAACAACGTATTATTACATTTTCAGAGTGTAAAATTCCGCTTCAGCTTACATATGTCTAGTCAAGTCCAAATGTGAAAACTGGTTTCTGAAAACTTACTAAGCTGAAAGATGTTTCTTAAAATAGGTTCCTACTGCTCATATGTTATGAGTGCATGTGTTTGTTCATAATTGTATTTCAGGCACCCCAAAACCTGAAGAGATCCAGAATCATGAACTGAAGCAAACTTTATAACATATGCTATATGTATCTCTGGTTGTAGTATTTGCTGCAATGACAAAAAGTAAAATTACGCTCTTTTTAGCAGTTTCTCACCTGCCATTCTCCGTGCTATACAGAGAAAATGCAGGCAGCAAAGGATATTCTGTTTCCATCCCAAATATACTGTACTTTTTTAAATGTTCCATTTTCTAGATTTCCTGATGATATTAATGCAAATTTTATTTCAGCAGGCCTTGGTAGTAAACATGGTAGTGATACTCCCCCTGCCATACCTCCCTTGGGCCACAGAGAGAGTTTAGTTGTCAGTTGCCATTGCCAGTGAGAATGAAGAGGAAAATTAAAGAAGGAATGGCACTTTATTATTAGAAATACTTCAGAAGGTGAAGTATCTCTTAGCATTTCTAAGTAGAAGTTGCATATTTCATGAAAACTTGCTGGATAAATCTTCTGTGTCAAAACGTACGGCCTGTCCAAACCCACAGGAAGAGATAAATACGGATTTTTCTTTGGGCTATGGCCTACTACATCATCCACGTGAAGGAGCACTGTTTCCTCACAGTACGCCATGAACAGCTGGCTCCCAGGGGTTTTTGCTTATGTGAAGTCTGTTGATCTAACTTAAATCCCTAGTTATCTTCGAGAATAGGATGTTGGTGCTTTAAAGAGGTTCATACTTGATTGTCTAGTTGAAAAAAATTTATTCTAGCAAGCAGTTGTAATGTGTCTGAAGTTAAAAGTCTTTCATGGGACCTCTGAAGCATATCCTCTCTCTGCGTAAAACAGCATAGGTATCATTGGCAGTTATCACAAAATATTATTGGTATGACCAGTATAAATAGCTCCTTACGAAACAAGCTTGCACCAAACCTTTCATTGCATAATGAGAACATACAACTTGAAAAAGGAGCCAAAAGAGGACAGGAATTAAAACTTGTCCTGAAAGGGGAAGGTAAGCCGGGGGTGGGTGGGGGGGGGCGAAGCGAATCCGGTAAAAAAATACTGGAAGAAAGTGATGGGTCTGACAAGTGTTTTTCTTGATAGGTCAGTAATCAAAGAATAGAGAAGATTTAAATAGCAAAACAAACAACTCTCTTCAGCCCGCCTCGACAGCACACAATGTTGGGAGAGTTCCAGGGTCAGTGTTTGTTCAAAGAGGAATAATTGGTACCTGCATGCAAAATAATATAATGAATATTAAAAATTGGATCATGTCTAAAAATGCAGTGCTGTCAGCAGTTCAGAATAGTTAGATGCTTCTATGGAATTCTAACAATTCTAAATAACATGTTCAATATAGAAGTAAGACCCTCTGAAAGGCTAATAATGGCCGGTATAATTAAATCTATCTGTGAATTATTGTGGTGCAGAAAATAAGCACCCTGACAACTAACTTTGTGAATGTATTTCAGATGAAGTAAGGGACTGATTAGAATGGCCTGGAAGTCAGCATTAAAAACTGGTAAAGCCCTGATACTCTGCACAGAAATGCAGCCTTCATCATCTTCCAGTGTGTGCCATGCCATCTAAGAGGCGTAAGTAATTGGGGATAGAAGTAAACCTTCAGAAAGTGAAGCAATTCAGTCAATAGTGAATTATGTTCCTGAGTTTGAAGAGAGACTGAACAACTTGAGAACTACCCTTAAAAGATAGCCACCCTTTGAAGCAATTCTGCATCATCTCTGTATTGTTCTTAGTTTGGATGTTTTTCCTACTCCTTTCTCCTTGTTATTTTTTGAAACAATGTCAGGTCTGTTCCAATGTCAGTTCAGTTCTTTTACCCAAGCCTTGAGTAAGGACAGATGCTACAAAGGAAGGGAAAAATAATAAAAACGGACGAGGAGAGGGTAGGGCGGGTGATTTTAGCTTCCTTATGGTTGGGAACGCTGACCTAAGAGAAGATGTGCTATATCTAAAGCATATGAGCAATCAGAGGGCTTTTCTTTATAAAATGGCAGGCACTGTAAACCACAGTGAATGAGTTTGGGAGTTTGAGAGCTCTGCTGGAAGTTGAAGAGCCAGCAGGTATTGAAGATGGCTGTATGCAAGTGACGTTTCTAAACACCACGGTGTTTTTCATGGACTAGCAAGAGCGTAAAAAAAGGAACAAACCATGAGCACAAAACCCACACAGACCAGGCATCTTCACTGCTGCCACGTATGAATCCTTTTACTAAGTCCTGAGTGGTAAAGTTGGGGGGGGAGGGTACAGCCTAATAAACTGTGGCCGCTGAAGCGGTTGGACCAGGACCGAATGCTGTAACCCGGGGTGGCAGGCGAAGCCCTGAGCGGTGCGACCCTGCCTGCGGCCGGGGGACGTGCGGGCCGGTAGGTCCGCGGGCCGGAGGACGGTAGGTACACGGGCAGGAGGACGGTAGGTCCGCGGCCCTGCGCAGGGCTTGGGCTGGGCAGGGGACATCAGTTAGGCTCTGTAACGTCTGAGAGAAAGTGTTTCACTGTATCTTTTCTAGTAACTTCTTTTTGCAAGGAAAATAATGCAAATTTCTGACCTGGGTCACAATTTAAGTGTTCAGACCTTTAGCACAGGAAAATAACCCTTTGTATTTAAATTGCCTATTACTCTGGAAATGTAAAACTCTGTTGAGAGTCCAGGTTATTCAAGCAAGGTGTTTAAGGTGGACCCTAGGAAATTAGGGGCACAGACACCGTTCTGCTGTGGAAATTCAACAAGTGCGTTTGAAAAAGTGATTTGAGCAACATCCAATTCTTACAAAGAAAAAGTATTCAGGTGACATACGGACACCTGCTCAGGAGAGGGGAAGTGATCAGAGAGGAACACTGTTAAATAAGGAATGGGGTGGAAAGTACTTGGTGTGCACTGCTAATGGCTGTTCCTGCCCCCGAGACGCTGTTTGTTACAGTGAATTCCAGCTATGGCCTTACTGCAAAAAGGCTTCAGGGCAGACACAGCCCCCCCACCGCACCCCCCCCAACTAGGGCAGGGGATGGGGGGGAACAACCCTGCAGTCAAAATGTGAGTGCAGTTTTACACTGGATTTAGACAACGTTTAGATACAGAGCAAAACACAGAATCACACACTCACGTGATTTTATGGGGGAAGCAAGAGGTCTGCATCCTCTGTACTAGTTATTACTGAACATGAACTTAGCCCTACGGGCGTGTTCTAGGCTGTTCTTACGGTAGCACCGAGCGCTGGAAGATCCAGTTCTGATGCTAAGCGACTCCAGCAGTCAGAGAAGGTGAACGCTTTGCATCTAGGGAATCTAGTGACAAGCCAAGGCGCAGGTGCAACACTTACACTGAAGATTAAGATGTGGGGGGAGATAGGGGAGAACAAAGGCGTTTTAATGGTAATGCCCAGGCAGCACATAACGCGTGGGGACCGAGAAAAGCATAGCCCGAGCTCAAGATTAACCTCCCGTGGTTTGGGCTTTTCTTCCTTTCCCCATCCCCCAGCTCCCATTGTTCGCCATCACATCTCACCAGGGCCCCGCGCTCAGAGGGCTCCGGCTGCACAAGTACCAAAAGCCCGGCAGAATCCTTCTGGGCTAAGAGAGACCCGAGGGCTCTCCCTTCCCCATCTGCAGGGGGCACGTCCTTACCCCGCAGTGGGTTGCCCCTGCCAGACCACCACATGCCCCGAGGAACAGATCGTCTGGCGAGGGTCTCCTCCAGCTTCTGTTGTGGGGATTGCCTGTTAGGTATTCACATGGCAGGGGAACCCCCTCACCGCCGAGACGGATAAATGCGGAGTTAAGTGACAAGAAATCATCTCATAATTTAAGAAGATCTACCCTAAAGACCGCCTGGCCTTTGACTAGAAGTTGTATTATCATACTATCGCTGTCTTATAAAACTTAGAACTGCACTTGCAGCTAGCTGTGTAGTCAGCCATGTGCTGAAGAAGGGCCTCGGAGGATTCCTGCGGGGGGAAAAAATTACCAACACTCTGATTTTGTTTGGTTGGAATAAATTTATTTCATCTGTCTGTAAACAAGGTGTTTTTAATAGTTATGGCATTTTTTGAAATGCATATTAAATCAGATGAGTTAGACTGTATCCCAGATGTAACAAAGTGCAGGGAAAGAAATGGACAAATCAGCAACAAGAATTTGTTTAAATCTGTACATTATCCACAAGGCCCAACAATAGAAGCAAATACTAGAATGTCCCTAAAGTAGTGCCATTCGAAAGAAACCCTCGTAGTCAGTTAAAATCCATCTCACAATAGCAACAGTTCATTTTTTTTTTTAAACAATAGTATGGCACAGAATACATATTAAAAAATTCATCACAAGACAGCCAAGTCAGTTATTCCAACCAATACCATCTCCCATTTATTCTTTTGTATACAGAGTTCTGCAGTTCTCTTTAAATGGACATACAAGTTAGTACCATGCCTGAACTGAGAGTTTGGTTACAGACATTTCAGATGACTCGTGCACAAGGCAGTTCACTCCATAATTTCTGCAGCAAGGGTGTGACAGGCCAAATGAAGATTTTAAATTTGAAATGGCATCATTTTGACAGTTCAGCTTTCAAACTGCCAACCTTCATCCAAACAGTAGCTTCAGAGTAGCAAAACTCTTTACCAGCCAAGTGGTCTCGCAGAAAAACTGGAGTCAGTCAGAGCTCCCAGTATAGCTGAAGGTGGCAGTTTTCCACAATGACATTGCAGTTTCATATTAAAAAACAAAAACAACAACAGAAAAAAAAAAAAAAACATGACCCCCAAGCTGCAAATTAAAATTGGTCCTATGAAAAACTGAAACCAGACACACTCCAGATGGTTATGTTGGGCTATCTAATGTCCATAATGGCAGCCTTTTACGGTTCAACTACAGAACAGGAGCTGGCAAAAAAAAAAAAAAAAGTGCCTGAGCTATTGCAATGATGGAATGTCTCTGGGGATTCGGTCAGGATGGTGGTTTTAAGGTCATGGGAGGAAGTGCATCTGTACCCTTTCGTAGTTTTGTGATTGCACTTGTTAAGCAGTACAAGCTTCAGACATCGCGAAGAAAAAATAAAAGACTTAAGCCTACAGTGAAGTGCAACAACAAAACTAATGTAACATTAATAGCTTTTGAGTGGCAAATTGGTTAAACAAACCAGGCACTATAAAAATGGGTGTAAGCAAACAAATGTGGATTTTAAAAAAAAAAAAAAAAAAAAAAGAGGGACAGAAGTCAAGATATGCATGCACTTTTTTCCTCCCAATCATGCTCTGTGATAGGAAGACTAGCGAGCTGTGTAATTGCTCAAAGTGCTGAAGAGGCATTGATCAAATTAGATTGTACAATCGGCACCTTGTTTAGTATTTAAGTCATTTTAGTTGTCAATGTCACACTAATTGCTAAGACAAAGCAAAGCCTACACTTGGCATATTCCCCTCCCAAGAGTTTTTCAAGGTATCATGCATATCATCTTTGTGGTGCAGTAACGGTGCCAGATATGGGACTTGGTTACATACAGTGGTTAACATAAATGAACAAAGGGTAACTGGAATTATGACACTAGGAAATGGGTAAATAAAAAACACAAACTACCATCTACAGTCTGGTAGCACTGAACACAACTGGGTGGTGGTGAAGACAGTTGCTAGGTGGATGGGGAGAGGCTGCTTAGACGTCAGACCTCCTCAGGTATAAAGCCAGTTCATATGCTTTCTTGTTGAGTGTCCCTCCATGGACACCTTCCTTTCCCATGACTATAACCAATGCTGGAGTACACAAGGAAACAAAACAGAAATGAACAGAATTAAAGAAAAAAGAAAAAAAAAAACAAAAAACCAACAAAAAACCCCCAAAACCTAAAAAAAAAAAAACAAAAACCAAACCAACAGAACACCTTTCCCCACCAACAAAGGGATACAAAGGAGACACAGGTTCATACCCCATCACCCTGCATTGCTAGTAAAGTTTCCAGAATGTAAGGTTTAAAGCTCACCGCCAGGAAAGTTTAATAGCAATCTTCCCCTAATACTTAACAGTCTGCCTAGCAACTAGAACCCAGAGTCTCTCAAGTATTTTGCCATTGAGTATGCCTTCTTATTCAATCCGCCTCCATGGACCCCTTCTTTGCCCATTACAAAGACCAAGACTGAAAGAGAAAAGAAAAAAAGTTTTAAAAAGAGTGTTAGACATGGAAATAATGCAAGTTTTAGGCAGTGCAATAAACACACTCAAATTCCAGATTTAGTATTTGGGTATTAAGCTAGTTTAACAGGAGTTTTGTAAAAATACAGATGTAGGCAGGGCTGGGAGAAGGCATGAGCTATCGTCAGGGGTATTACCTAACTATGTAAGTCGTAAGACTTCACTGCTAAGAAAAATGCCACCAACTATCTCAAAAAAGCATCACAGTGCCTCTCCACCATCAGCACCATCCATCATCACCCAGCACGGAAACCCTGGCTGCATCTTAAAAAAAACACGGGGAAAAAAAAAGAAGTGTTGTCAGGGAACAAAAGTAGTAGTGTACGTAGAAGCAGTGTGACTCTGAACAGCAGAAGAGGGAATATTCTTATATTCTTATCTGTAGTGGTCACTACTGGTGTAAGAACCACAGTAACTGCCTTGATTCTAGCAAAAAAACCCAGGGGGTCAGACTTGGGCTAAGACTTTTCATGCAAGACCACAACTATAAAACATGCTTTTTGCATAAGACAAAATGCAGGGAAGATTTTAATGCTGACACCCTCTCTCTCCTCCCACAATTTTGGTGAAGCGTCCCCGTTGTCTCGCCAACCAGAGCATCCTAAGGCTCCTCAACCAGCAAACACCGGTCGCCAGCAGATGTCACCAGCCGGTACACTGACACAACGAGCGCTGTGCTTCCACAAGCACAGGAATTGTTTCCCAAGCTAGGAACACTGCGACTGGAAATACTGCAGTCAGCCTACCTACAGGTGATTGTACATCTCCATAGCAATTTGCTCACAAAAAGCCTAAGACAGACGGTTCTCGTTGGCATTTCACAATCTGCAGCCCAGCCAAAACTCTCCTTGTTTCACTTCAGCGCGGCAAACATTCTTCCTGTATTGCTGCCACCCGGCTTTAGCCTACAGACAGATTTTGCTCTAGTTTTGGTTTTATACTTGGGAGCAAAAGTGCGTTGCTCACCAATTTGTTCCACAGACAGGCAAAAAACGCTAGGCCAGATATTCTGAACACAAGGCACACTACTGGTAGCCAGTATTTTGAGGCGCGTTTCTTATATTCAAACCTAGCGCCTTCCCCGTAATAGGTTTTACTAAAAGTTAAATGAGGAGCACAAGGAGTAGGCGTACTAGCACAAAGCAAGTTTCTCGATGATACCAAATTGGACGGGCTGCTTTGGCTGAAGACAGACTTCAGAGAGCTCAATAGGAAGTGCAAGAAGAGTTAGTGTAGAACTTGTTAAAAGGCAAGCAGGAGTAGCTCACATAAGGGATTCACATCTTTGCAGAATAAACTTTCCGTTGAGGAGCTGACAATGAAAAAGCTGGTTTCTCTACCAATCGTTACTAGATCCCTACCGTAAGCTTCAGACACCAAGTTATCGTATACTTTGGTAAGCTGACTTCAAGCCGTAGTCTGCCCCTTCCTGCTTGTCAGAGTTCTGTTTAACCATTTCACAGCCTAGCACCCAGCTGCGGTCACAGGTGGGAAGAGGGACAAGGGCGATTCCTGGGCAGAAATCTGGTTAGTCAGCCAGGCCACTGCCATCCGCCCCTGACGTCGCTTCCTGAAATTAACCCCTAAATACAGGAGTCTGGTTTTCTTAACAGCTGGAGTCCACGCTTAGGGTCACATCCTTAATTTAGTGATCTGAAAGTGAAGAAAATCATGCTTACCTCGGCCAGCTCTGCCTACAGCAACATTGTACGTTGGCTCACCACCTTGACTCTTTGTCCTGATGTCCATTGTGCAGTCACCATCAACATACAGGCTATCTCTGATCACAGAGCACTTCTTTGCACCAAGGGTCAGACCATTGGTGAAGAAACCCTCTCGGTCTTTTCCTACGATCATATCTATTTCTACTGGCTGTCAAAGAAAAAAAGTCCAGAGTTAACACAGCCGTATTTTATCGTTTAATTTCTATTCAGAAAGCGTCCCGTCTCACGTTGGGAGAACGAGACACTGAATTTCTCCTCGCCCCCAAGAGGAAGTGCTCCAGAACACGGGGCTTTGTTAGTCGCAGTTTACATGGCACGGCTTCACTGCCACTGTCACCAGTGGAACGGCTGC